TTTGACATACTAGTTCGTATACATCTTCACGGAACTCCTGTGTAGAATAAAACCAGGGTATCGAATGCTTCCCTATTCCATTTTTGTACAAATAGAATAGCCTATTTAGTCAGAATGGTAAAATGGTAAAGAGGTCTCGTCATTCATATAGATAAAAAGAGAAAAATGAAAGTGCATATTTGGGCTAGATCTAATCATTACATGCAAGTAAATGCGTAAAATTAATAAGACTCATAGTTTTTTTTTTTATCGAAGTTCGGTTTTTTCTACATCCCCGCATCTCCGGGACCTTCGAGAAACGAATCCACTATAGAACAAGAAAACAATATGATCTACTGTTCAAATAATACACAATTGCAAACAAGTAATCAAACACAACCTTTATCATCTAGTGTTCTTTTCTATAACATGGATTCTTAAATATGAGGATCGTCGTGGACCCTTAGCAACACCAATATGCAGATCTTGTTCTTTGTTCTTGTGATCTCGAATGACGCTACACACGTGTGCAATTATATGTATATATATTATCAATACTATTATTTTGGTTATGCTTACTTAAGTCTTTAAACGTTATTGTATTTTGTGTAAATTTGTATTGGAAATATATATTTTTAATTTGGCTTACAATAACCATGCTTATTAATATACTTTTATATATGCCGATTAATCAGATGGACATGATTTCATGGAAGTTATAGAGCTTTGATGGTATAATTAATCAACATACATCATTATTTGAATTTTTTTTAAATTATCTACGATTGATATAGTTAAACCATATTAAAAATTTAAGTGGTTCAAATTGGTTAAGTTTTAAATTTATTGAAACTGTTTGACAACAAAAATAACATTAATATAGTTACCTAAATAGGAGCTGGAAATTGTGTTTAGTAATGAGGATAACAAAATTATATAAATAAAAATGAAAAAGGTTTAGAAAAATTATGGGGCTGACACATCAGCAAAACTGGTCAAGAATATTTTTCTTTTAATACATAGAAGATGAATTGAATATGATTTTCCAAAATTAGTAGTAGCACTCAGTTTGTAATTGGTTATGTTAGTTTAGTTTTTGTAATTGGTTATGTTAGTTTAGTTTTTTTTTTTGTTAATATTAGTTATTGGTATTGCTTTGTATTCCTTTTACTCGTTACCATTTATCTTCACAACTGATTTTCTACAGTTATTCCTCTCATTCAATTTATTCCTCTAGCTACTTTTATTCAACTCATTTCTACTCCACTCCCAATTATTCTATTTATTCAACTTATTCTACTCATTCAACAGATGTTGTGATATAACGGTTGCTATCTTGTAGGTCGCACCAACAGGGTTCAGGTCTGTGGTGAGAGCAGAGAAGGGAATAGAGGTTGCAATCAAGGAGGCTCGAGAACTCATTATGTATCTTGAAAAGGAAGTCACCGGAAAAGATTTCTTCGGTGGCAAGAAAATCGGATTCTTAGACATGGTGGTTGGAAGTATGATTCCATTTTGCTTAGCTCGGGGTTGGGAAGGTATGGGAATTGATATGATTCCAGAGGAGAAGTTTCCAGAACTAAACAGATGGATCAAGAAACTGAATGAAGTTGAGATTGTGAGGGAATGTATTCCTAACAGAGAGAAACAAATTGAGCACATGAAGAAAGCTGCAGAGCGAAACAAATTGGCCTAAGAGACATCATACTCATTAATTGAGAGATGTTAACTGTATTTGTGTAGCCTCGTTATTTTAAAAAGTTGTATGAACTAAATAAAGGTGAGTGATATATATCTATCTATGCGAAAGTGATTTCGAAGAAAACGTTTGTGTCAACTCCACAATTATTTTCACCGAAAGAATCATGAAAAAACATGACTTAACTTAAAAATGATGAAATGGAAGATTAAAGATTTTTTTTATTATAAATTGAAATAATCATAACAAATTTTTTTATGAAATCTTCCATAGCTAAATTTATATAGTTAATTTGAAACTAAAGATACTAGTTCCCACATCTACCTACATACCTAAACAACTATTATGAACAAAAATTACAATATCCGACCAATGGAAAACTGATTTTACTCAACCACCAAGAAACTTTGAACATAAAACTATCACGAGCATAACTGAACAATATGACCGGAGAATATTATTAAACTTTGGATCCTTTAGAGATCCACTGGATCGGGTTGAGGTTAGCCTCGGGTCGGGTTGGGTCTACTCCAAGGATAAAGCTTTTCGCGGGTTTTCCGTCAAGGCTTTTCGCGGGTTTTCCATTAAGGATTTCGCGGGTTTTTCATTATGGATTTCCGCGGGAAACCCGTTAATGTTCTCCTATATTTAGCCAATTTTTGACATTGATTCTTAAGTGGTGGATTTTGACCCGTACACTTGCCAAAGGTTTGACTTGGATAAAATACCTTGTGTCTATTCTATTGCAGCAGCCGAAACAACGAAGAAGTCACGGATCGCCCATGCCCATTCATACTTTTATCAGAGCTATTTGTACAACGGTTACTCCAAAAGTGTTATGCCAAGAGATGTTGTGTTTCCCACGTTGGAAGATGTGGCGTCGAAAGTTTGTAATCCGCATGTGGTTTGTGAACCACTCGGTAATCCAAAACTATCACGAATAAAAGGTGCATTGAAGACTTTCATGGAGCGGAAGCGGCCTAAGAAAGAGCACAAGTGTTCTAAATGTCTTCAACACGGCCATAATCGTACGACTTGGGAAGTTTAAATATATGTTTCTAGTTCTGTGTATCTTTCCATATGAGTTGATACTTGTGTTTTAAAACAAACAAAAAGTATAATATGGACCATGTTTTAAGAGTACAAAAAGTTGGTCAAATCATTACATTACAAAAAATGTCATATAAGTCTACGATACTTTCGAAGGACCACCTAGTTTACCATGGTAGTACAAACATGATCCTTTGAAAGTATACACCTAGTTAGATCTAAGTGTCGTGCACTTAGTCAATATATCTACGCGCGACAACAAAATATACAAGCCTACCGAAATGATTTAAATGTGTATGACAACAAAATAATTAAATCTACGGTCACAAAAGGACTTATCAAAATAAATCTACCATCACGTATTCTCGAGAGAAAAGACTTGTAAACAATAGATCGACAAAAGCAATCCTTTTACCTTTGAAAAGACTTGGCTTTTGCAAAGACCTTTGTTGGAACATATTAAAACCAGCCACCTTTTGCTGCAAAATAAGAAATAAAAGTTTTAAGAGTTTTCGACTAATAAATCTATCACAACAGACAAATTAGTCTAACACAACATTCATGAATACCTTCATTTTTTGACACAAACGTTTTTTCTATAGGTGATTTTCCTACCAGAAACATTCTCCTAGGATAGTCTTTTGGCACAATAGAAAACGCCATTTCAGTACAAACGATAACACCTAAACTTTTAAATAAATCACTATCAACAGAAATAATCTACTATCACCAGAAATAAATCTACCATAACAAATATTTAAATCTACCATCATAAACAGAAATAAATCTACCATAACATAGCACATATTTAAATTACAATCAACCCAAAAATAAATCTACCAACATTCATGAATACCTTCATTTAAACCTTTACCTATATAATTAAATCTACCATCAAAACACACAATCAAACTTCAGTTCCAATTAGATTAACAAATCTACCACCTCCCAAAATAAGGGCTCGATTTGGTGCAAACCCTAAATCGGATACACCCTGATATAAGATTGGAATCAGACCAAGCTTATGGTCAAATGGTTTCAAGGCCTACGGCTTGAATGGATCGAATAGTTCGCCATACAAAGTTGCGGAATGACTTTCTGATAAGAACACAAATCAATATCTATGTGATACGCACACAAAAACAAAGCATAAGCTTCAAAAGTGAGAAACTCTCTCTTTTTATTTTTCAAAAATTCTATATCACTTTACAATGGAACAATTGAGCTTTATATAGCTTTTACAATGTGATCTTTACAATAAAATACATTAAATGAAATTATCTACATTTATAGAAAATGAATAAAAATAGCTAAAACAAATAATAATCTTCTTCCACCAATTTAGCACATTAAATGAGAATCCTTTGATTTATTTTTGTGAAGTTATGAGAATGAGATTCTCATAATAAAGCCATGTCTTGATCACCTTGATTCACTTTTTCATATTGTATCACACCCACAAACCGGGTGTAAACCGGATGCACAAAAACCCTAGATCTAAACGTAGGAGGAGTGTCGCAGCCTTGAGCCTCGCCGGAGAAGGGAAGAACAAGACACATTGTCGAAGCTTCCTTGTATTCTCTGACATGTCCTCTGTCTTATCAAGCCAACACATTGGGCATCGGTGCTTTGATGTCACCAGAATGATTCTAAAAAAACCCAGCTTGAAACTGGAACAAATTCAATATACTTAAAAACATTCTGGGTTCAGAAACAATGATTGTGGTTCAACTTTCAGATCAATTTCCCGATTCATCTTGCCTCGGATTTAGGATCAGAGAACTGTTCCAGAAACTTCTAAGCGAGCTCTTTCCAACAACGTCCAGATCGCACTCTGGTTCCCTCGGATTTGGTCGAAAACATTCGGCGAAGTCAGCTGGTCGTAGACTTCGCTGTGCACAGATCAATCCCAATTAAACATCAATAACTTTCAGTCCATTACTGCGAATGACAAACTTCTTTCAACTATAACTAGATCAGTGAGTTAACTACTTACCCAGAAAGTTTCGATTGATACCGATCTGTTTTGACCTTCCGTTTTTTTCCTTATCCAGAACGGGACAGATCCATCTTCTGTAACTCCTTTGTCTCATCTCCGACTTTCTCCTCCACCACTGGAGACAGCCTTCTCTATCTCCTTCCCCCGACGGAGCGGGTAAATCCCGAGAACCACCAAAATAGCCGCTGAGAAGCACCGTTGCCATAAGTCAACCGCCACCCGAAAACCCTTTTCAAGAACCACTTGCATTGAAACAAGCAGCCTTACTCAACAGCCTCCGGTGGTTCAAACTCTCTAAAAGTTCACGCCACCACGCTCGAACACACCTTTCCACCAGAGAAACCACCACCACCAAACCGCCGGAGAGCATGAGATCTAAAATCTATGAAGAGAGGAGGCCGAGAGTCACCGAAAATCGAAGCCTGAAGAAACATCACCGGTTCTTATCCTCATTAGATCCGGATCCGCAAATCTGACTACCGCATAGACAATACCGACCCACTGAAGCCAGCCATTGAGATGGTAAGGAAAGACACGAAAACCATGAATGAAGCTCCGGCGACAGCCAACGGCGGCGTTGAAGATGAGAAGAGGAGGAAGTTAGGGCAAATTTTTTGAGAGAGAGAGAAACTTTATTTTGGTAAAAAAGAAAAAGAAAATCGTTAATCAGT